CTCTCTCTCTCTCTCTCTCTCTCTCTCTCTCTCTCTCTCTCTCTCTCTTTTCCCCTTTTTTTTGTCGTGTAAATTATCCTTAAAGTGTCTTCGGTTAACTGTTAACTTCTGTTTCTCGAATTCTCGTGAGCTCTTACTGAACAAACTTGTCGAGTGGGAAAGTCGTTTTCAATATCGTCTCGTAAAATTAATGAACTTGATAATGATTGGACATGTTCGTTTCAAATTGCTATTTATATTCGTTATTCAATATTAAGATCCCCTTTTTGAGAAAATTACAACGATAAATACTTATGAAACCTTTGATAGTAATTATTAGTAAAATGATACCCTTTTTTAAATCTTATCTCAAATAGAATTATTTCAGTTAGCATGAAATTCATTCGTTCATTATTTTCATAAAAGTCGATATTTCTGGATATGTCTTCAATTTCAAGTTCAGTCTGTTATTTGGACGCATCAAGATTATCGTAAATTATCTCCCGAATTCACTCTAAAACCACTGAAAACGCAATGAAAGATTCACAATATTTGTGTCTCTTTAACGCGCGTATAATGTACACCAATCGATTGACAACGAAAAGTTTCTCGAAGAATAAGCGCTTTAATCGCGTTTATTATATGTATTTAAACCGGAGATAGAAAATGTATTTTTCTCTCCAAAGACCATCAGTTAGATTTAATACTTAATACACCGTTCAATTACAGTAGAGTTCAATCTCTTACCAGCATTATATTTTTACGGAAAATCAATCAATATCGATCACAGTCACTAAAGTGTGTTCGATGGAGCAGAAATATCGACGTTTTGCTCAGATGTCTCACAGAGCGTGACTTTCTTTCTTCACAATCCGTCACAAGACACATCTAATGCCTTTTCTCGTTTCCTCCAAGATTCTGATTTTTTAAAAGATTATCAGTTATTTCTTCTGATTCATTCCACTGGTAGAATCACTGTCAGTAACATTGAAGCACAAGGAGTAAAGAAGTAAAACTCTTCAGAAATCAATGACAAAATAAATTACGTATATACATTATTTAAATATAAAGTTTTTTAATTGCGCATTTGTGAATCTAAACTGGACAATCTCTATCGAGAAGATAAGGATATGGAAAATTCAATAATTTTCAAAAGATCATTGGTACGATTTTCTTGCTATTTCTCCGAGGTCTCGTATCTTAAAGAAGTATCCTTAAATAGGTTGCGCATAACACTGTAGGGGACAACTATCACGATGTCGAGATATCGAGACTTGGCGTCGAGGATACCTAAGTCGCAATCTAAACCTCGAGAGTCAACTCGTAACGCTTCACATCGGTTGACACACTTTCACCGCGGGTCTTTCGGCGGGATACACGTCTCAGAATTGCTCGCGGAATGGCTCGAGCAAGTCAATCCGAATCGCGTGGAACGTCACCTGATTACGCGCTTCATCCCCGGCACCGAAGGTCAACCGGAATGGAGAGAGAGCGGGTCCCTGCGACGAGCGACACGACCTCGACCTAATCACGCGATGAGCACTTTCACCACACACCAGGCTCTGTCCCTCCCTCTCCGCTGTCCGCGACGCAGAATCGCGAGAGATGCCGGGGGATGATCACTCGGCCCGTTCGCGACGTCGCCGTTTTCCCCGTGATGAGCTCGTGGTGGCGTTTCAATGGCGCCGAGCACAGCACAGATCCTGCACGTCGGGTCGAGTCAGACAACTACGCTACTTGCTCGCGGTTCACTCTCGAGTCAGCCATCCGTTCGTATCGCGATCGATCCGGCCGCGCGCTCCATTTTTCCTTCTCTCTCCCTCTCTCTCTCTCTCTCTCTCTCTCTCTCTCTCTCTCTCTCTCTCTCTCGTGCGCGTTCGCTCTTTCTCTCGCCACCCGGAAGCTTCAGCGAAATCAAACGTACACGTCGGAACAACGCGCGCGAACGTAAAATCCCATTCACTGTTTCTTGTCGTGGCTGCTGGTCGCGATCAGTAAACCGTTTCCCGGAGATGGATCGACCCTCTCGACGGCTCCCGGCTTGATACTAGCCTGGCGAGACGAAGCGATGCTCGGTCGAGACGCTCGCTGCCGACGACGATGGTGCGACGCCCCCGGCATGACGCCGACGCCGACAACGACGTCGACGCCGACGCCTCGCGCCGCCTCCTCTGCGCAGCCGCGCATCGAGGGAGAAGACCGGAGGAGGAAGAGAGGGTTACGGTGATGCGAGAGGGTTGTTCTTCGTCGGTGCCTGTCTGTCTGTCCGTTGTTGTATAACGCTAGAAGTCTAGAACGCAGATGAGAGCGCGGAGAGATGAAGGAACGTGGTGGTGTGTACCTATTGGGGTAGGAAGGAGTTGCGCTCTCAGATTTATTCCTCCAGCGAGAACATTAGCAAGCGCGGAGAAGCGCGGAAAAATTATTGAACAATCCTTCGATCTGAAAGCGAAAGAAATTCTTAATGAGCATTCTTAGAATCGTTGATCCATCTGAGAAAAACATTTTATGGATCGTCGATATCGACGAAGTGATTAATGGAGAATACAATCATGAAACTTTCGTATTGCAAATTTATTGATCACATCGAATATTTAATTTAAAATATTTTTATCAAAAAGAAAGTTATGCGAAAGTTTTTGGAAAAAGACATTTTATGTATTTATATCTGTTTCTTTCTTTTTTTTTCAGAAATGGAAAACAATGTTTTTTGCTGTCTTCCATTAAGAGATGTGAAATACGAAAAAGAAAGAGAGAGAATTATATTAAAACAGTTATTGTATAAATACAATTATTATTCAGAGTTTTCCATACACGTATATCCATTTATAAAATGAATGAGAAACATTATAGATAAAACAACTATTTTGTTGAAAGAATACTGTGATATTTCCTGCTTTACTGACTTTATTTATGCTTTATTTTAATGTAACTCGAATATACATATAACAAGTTTCGAAAATACAAGCAAAATAATAAAAAGTTTTTGATAATCTAATATTATTCTAATAATATATTTTTATAATTGAATCTCGTAAGAATAAATAAAGCTTCATTTATGTAAATCCAGAACACATTAGTCCTTGATTTATATTATTGTAATTCAATATTTAACGAAACGAAAAAATTGGATCGATTAAGTAAGTGAAAGATGGAATGGCATGACGGAAGCGAAAAGAGGATAGGTGGCAGTGCGAGAAATTCAGCTGCCAAAATAAAACAAATGGTGACTAAACAAGAAGATGTTGCGCGAAGGTATCTCGTAAAGGTGGTTCCCTGAACCGAGTGGTAGAGAGATAGGTATAGATGTCAATCGAAAGGTGAAAAAGCGCGCGACTCAATGCTGAGAAAGCATCGTGTGTCTGTTCGGCAGAAAGCGTCGATCCGTAAGGACGATACAACACGAATCGGGAGATGGTGAACGGCGATTTCGTCTGGTCAGAAATTCGAGGAGCCGTCGAGTGCTTTCGACCCGAGTCTGCGATTTTTCCATTGCGTTGCGAAAACTGAGTTCGTTTAAAATATACAGTTTGCGCGTTTATTACTTTGTGAAATGTATCTAATAACATTGTGAAAAATAAGGATGTATAACAATTATAAGCGGAAATTAGATTGAATAAATCAGAGGAAGAATTCTATATTCGATCAAAGCCGAGCTTAATAATATTCGTATGTAAATTTACGAATATATTTTTCAGTTCTTTGAACTGCATTGATTCAGTTTGCCAGACTTGAAATTATAAATTGAAGCTAAAAATATACAAATTATATTGATCGTCAATTCAATAATGATGCTAATAAGCATCTTAAAACACTATAAAGAACTTATTGCGAAAAATATCATTTCAATCAGAGTTTGAACCTGAAACTCTCAACTTTTTCCGAATGTTTCAATTCATCATTATCATTTGTGATATTTTTAATAATAAATTTTTTGCTGTGTTTTAAGATATTTATGAGCTTTATTATTAAATTGACGATTATTAGTTGTGATATTATTTTCAGTTTCAATGCATTTATAGTTCGACAATTCGACCGAATCAGAGCGCAGATATAGAATTAAAAACTAAATTTGCTTTGTATATGAATATTAAGCATCAAAATTCACTTTTATCAAATAAAAAATGTATAATCGTAATTGTCTCGATATCTTTCGTCGATTTTTCTTTTTCAAGAAGCTTCTTAATTAATTAATACTGCAAATAGATTGGTA